ATATTCATTTAAGAGAATTAAAATAGAAACCAAATGAGTTACATCAGATTCTTATACTTGGGTTTGAGTAATTCCCTTATCACTTTGGATCAGACTACATAAATCTACTTACATTTCTCTTTTCATTTATGGTTCAATCCCAGATCCCAATAGTCAGATCACAAACTCTATATTTTATTTGGAAATCAAATTTCAGTGTCTAATACGCAAACCCTAAAAGTTGTTGCACATCTCTTTCTTTTTGTATCAAAAAGAGAAAAGGATGAAAAATGAAAGGAAGTAGCCGGAAAATAGAAGCTTCAAAATGACCAAAAAAAAAAAAAAAACCAAAAACAAAAAATCACCTCTAGATCCTTGGCAGTCCGTGACTTTCGGGCTGAAATTAATTGTACACGAGGATCCTTCCCCATAGATAACGCTCGGCCAGTTCTTCTCTTGCAAGAAATCTCTAAGTTCTTAAGAATTTTAACACATTCCTTCAATTTCTTATTTTCCTCAAGTTTTGTTTCAATCTGGGCCAACTTACTACGAACAAACTTCTGATAGGATCGGTTCCTTTTAATTGCATCAATGAGCATCTGTGCAGATTTTGGAAAGGTCGAATTCTCAGATGTCTTCCTAGGATCTGACTGATGCAACTGAATTAAACTAGAAGATGGCATCTCCAAGTTGTCATTTGATAAGTCAACAGTGCTGTGGGCCTCTTCAAAGTTTTGAAATCTCTCACCTGTATCAGCTTCATTTACAGCTTCATTTAAGAAATCATGGCAAGATACATCTTCTGAGGGCGTGCAAGATTGGTCAACCTTATCTGTTCCTGGCAAGCAATCACTTTTGCTCTTTCTCCCTGATTCTGCATCAAAATATTCAGAATTAGCATATTACATTCTCTAGGGGCATAAATAAGCTACAAATACAAATCATGCTTAACATACAAAGACATGCATCAGAATAAAGAGAAACTAGATTCATAAGAACATTTGATGTTGCGAGAAACACTTGCACAGGCCCAGTATTTAACAAATTATAAGAAAAACAAATTGAACTTAAACAAACCTCAATCTCAAACTACTTCAGAGTAGGGTACAGGAATCTTTTTTTCTCTGTTCAGCCCAATTAAGGGGTATAGAAGAACTAGAAACATTACTAGAAAATAGGCAACATCCTACCTATCTCTACCTCTTTTAACACCTACATGAATTATTCACATACACCATGTTAAACATAGCTCCAGTTTATGCATGAATAAACAAACAAACTTTTTTTTTACTCCCATAATTTGCCCTCAATCAGCACCACATGTATACTTAGACATAACTTTACTTCTTGCCTCATCTTATCTCAAATTTCACATATGATGCTATATCCATCTCCATATCCCCACTTAAGCAAAACTCATTCAACTATCATCCTCTAATGTCCAAGTCTAACAATCAATAACTTGAAGCACAATGATCACATAATTGAATTGAACTGCAGAATATAACTTTCAACATAATAAATCAATTACCCGGTATCCTTAAGATCATAGAGTAATTCATTCAACATGCCACAGCATCCTTTTGTTACATAGGCCATTAATGGAAGTTGACCAAGCCCTTATTTCAAACTAATTAGGTCCTTCTTTCTCCATTTTGTATAATTAGGACTATATTCTCTATAAGATCTAAACATGTTGAGTCCTTTTTAAAATTCTAGATAGCTGCAATCTTCAGCCCATTTATAGCCCTCTTAGCTCCTTCTGAATTACCAAATTATGTCTAAGCTCAAGAGAAACTGTTTTACAGTTTTAGGTGGATCAAACCAATTATATTTAAAATCTTTTCACCAATCTACAACTGCTCACAGCCACATATACATTTAACTTCATTTCTTATTTTCTGGGAAATGACTGCACATCCATCTCAATCCCCAATTAAGTGAAACTCATAGATGCACCTTCTAAATGCCCAATACTTAACACAATAAAACATAATTGCTGATATAACCCTTTTGTGGATATATCTTTCAGCTTAATAAGGCTTTTATGAGAAATACTAACCTACATGCCCTTCTCCAATTCATCCACTGTGACATATGATTATCTATTTTTCTCAAAATAAATTAAGGGGTTACAATTATATTAAGTAAACCGTGCAAACCACTAACTTCAGATTCAAGTATGCATTATGCTAGAAAACCCAAAAAGGACCTTCATAAAACACTCAACATTCACAACTAATCATTTCAATGGATGCAATTTAAATGCTCCTTATATAATTTCGATCAATCTTAAGTTGAAATGCCTTGGAAGCTCATTACAGCAATGAAAATTTTGAAATGCTCAATAAAATTCAATTTGAACAAAAATTCCTGCAGACTTGGTATCTAAATATATCGCTTCAAGTTCAATCATTTTACTTTAGTTAATTAGAGTCACATAAAGACTGCAACCGAGTCTCCTAGTTCAATGATTTCAGTTTCAATATTAGCTTCCTTTTAAAAGCATCGAAGACCTTCAATCATTTTTTTGTTGTTGCAGTATTTGCAATGCTTATTTGCCACTAAGAAAAACCAATTGAAACTTACCGGCAGCAGTATAAGCTGAGAACCGCCTCTGAATAGCACGAAGAGTCTGTAAATCATCTTCAGCGTCGTCGTCATCTGAAGCAATTGGCGGCAGTGTGCAGAGAGGCTTCATAGAGAGAGGCTCGCAAACATCGTCCGACAACGCAAAGCGATTCCTTATACTCCGGAACAACTCCAAATCATCATCACTGTCAGAATCACACACCGACGGTCCGCCACCACCACCGGTAGATGCAGTGGCGGCGGATGCCGGAGGACAATTCCAATCAGCCGCGGCGGTTTGTATATCGTTTGGGTCAATACCTGTTTTCAGACAGGCCTGCTTGAGGGCTTCCAAATCCTCTAGGAATTCATCATCGTTTTCGCTGGTGGAGAGCTCCTCATCGTCTTCTTCCTCTCGGTCGGCGTACAGGTTGTGCCCAGACATTGCTCCGATGGGTTTGGAGAAGAGAGAATTGAGCTTTACGTATGGAAAGTTGGGGCACAGCTAGGGAATTCTTGAAGGCGGCTTTTGAGGTTTCCCACACAAGGAAAAAAACGGAAAGCTGGCCTAAAATTAAAATTTTAAGAAATTGAAAAGAAACGGACGGTCGAACTGGTCCGACCGGTAGCAAGCCATAAATCCAGTCCGGTTAAGTACACTGAACCGCTTTAAGCATTTGAAAAAAACAAATATATTTAAAAGAACTAGGAGCCAAATCGGTCGATGGGTTGAGTTAGATCCGGGTCGAAAACCAAAAAGGTTAAATTAAAACGGGGTTTCCTTGACCTTTTGAGAATGGTTCAATTAGATCCTCAAAACTTTATTTGAATCTCTAAACTCTTTTAAATGATTTAATTGGGTACTTATTTTAGAGATATTAATTTGGGTACCCAGATTCCCAAATTGACGACATGGTTCATAGGCCTTGATTGTTGTGAACTTATTTTGGTATATGATATTGAATTTCCTTCATTAGTGTAATTCTTGATCTTGGTTTAATTTCTTAATCTGTTAATTTGTGCCTAATTCTCTAATTAGCATCCTCGATAGGCCATGGGTCTAGGTCATTTTTAATGTTTGACCATTCTTTTTTTTTTTTTTGTACTAGACCCTTTAGTATCCAAAAACAACGTTAGATTTCGATTAATTTAAAGTAGAGTCAGATCAGATTTCATAAGAGGAAAACTCTTTCAATATTTGTTTCTTTATTTACAAGACTCAAACTCGAGGTCTTAAGAGAAACTGAGTTATTAACAGAAACTGAATTCTTTCCACTCAAATCAACAGGTAGTTGGTTCAGCCATCCTTTTAATTCTTTTAGTTATGATTTAAGTTGATAAACTAGTCAGATATGATTCAAAGCATGTCATTTAGCTTTCGATGGGATTCAACTAGATTCCATTTTAATTCTTTATATATTTATATATATGATGATTATCCATACACAAGAAGAAATAACCCCTTTTTTTTTTTTGGTAAATTTTCCCTACCGACTTGATTCAAGATTTTGATATGAGACTTCCTAATTAAAATATCAAGTTTTGCAAATTTTAATCTCAGGGTTTACCTCTTGATTTACTAACCATAATAAGTTTATAGGTGACACTTGTAGGGCAAATAATAATAATAATAATAACAATAATAAAAGCATAAAAAAATAAAAGAGAAGGAAGAGTTGACTCCTTGACCTTTCCTTTTAAAAGTACAAAAGAAAAATGATCTAGAGATAATTTTTTTTACAATTTTATATGTCATTTAAATAATTAAGTATTTTATTTGAGACTCATGATATTAAGTAATCCAATCATTTAATAACATAAAAAAATTATATAAAAAAATTATATACATTGCTATCACTACACAAGTAAAAATAAAAATATGCAAATAGAACCCAATGTCTTGGGTTGGGCCAAAGTGAAAGCTTGACATTTGATTCTTAATTCACTTTGTGGGCTTACAGTGAATCATAATTTTTAGTGGGCCAAAACAAATGAAAAAACTCTTTGGGCCGAAAAGTACTTGAAAGTCAAAATGAAAGTAATGTAATATTGGGTTGGTTTAATGAGTCAAAATCAACAAAGTTCAAAGTCTATTATTTTTTATTTTGATAGATTTAAAACCAAATGTGAATTAAAATATATATTTGATTTATTCTTGGCAATATGAAATTGATTTCCATAAATTCTCAAATATTGTGTTTGAATGTGTTATTATTATTATTTTTTTTTAATGTTGGAAGCTTATTTAATTGTGTACTTACTTACTTAATATATTTCTTTTAGTAGAAAATAGCAAAAATAGAAACTATGTTCTAGGTTAAGGTTCCAACCCTTGACACATGGTCTAGAACCCTTGATAATTCTATTTTGGATGACATTGTTAGGAACTATCTACGTTCCAACCCCTAAAAATCAAGGTGTAGAAACATGAAAGTTACTGTCCAATGATGAAAGTAATAGAGGTTCCAACTCTTGGAGACAGGTTCTAACCCCTCATGTTGAAGAATCTGAATAACTTACCATACTTAGATTATATTCTTTCCAATCATGCTTCAACAGTCATAATCCTTTGAGCATTTTAAGGCATAAATATCAAACTTTGAAGCAGAGAAGAATATAGAAGAAAAAGAAGAGCTTTCAACCTTAGAAACAAAGAGAGTTTGAGCCTTTAGCTTGTTCTTTGAGAAATTACTTATTTTCTACAATTGTTCTTGTTCTTTTTCGTTATAACAAGTGAGAGAGAGGGATCAAGAAAATCTTGTTAGATCTAGTAATCCATCCTTAAAGTATGAGAAGGGTTGAGAGGTTTGTAACAAGGGGATTGAACAGTTTAATAGTACTTGTAAGCTATTGGAAAACTGATTGGATAACCTTGTTAGATCTAGAGAAAACCATCCTTGTGGTATAGGATTAGGTTTGTGAGACATTGTAATAAGGGGTTGAATTGTTAAAGGTGAATAGTGCTGACAAAACTATTGCAAACGATAGCCTTTACATGAAAAAGTTCAAGAAGAGCTTTTGAATCCAAAGTAAACTCTCAAGTAGGCAATTTGAAGAGTGAATTAGGCACAAATTGTGACAGAACCACTATAAGTCCTTGTGTTTGAGCTTTCTCTTCCCTTAGCTTTTAATTTCTGTACTTTAAATTAACTGTTTGCAAATGTGCTTGCTCATTGTTTTGTTTTTGAAAATTGTATAAAGTTTTTGAAAGCCCAATTCACCCTCATCTTAGGTTGTTGTCATTTGGGCCAACAAAGTCAAAATAAAGGTCAAAAGCCAATAAAAGTAAAAAATGATCATAGGAAAGCAAAAAAAAAGAC